TGATGTAGCTTTCCATGCCCTTCTTGATGGTACCGAGGGCTCCTATAACCACCGGGACTGTTGTTGTTTTCAGCCCCCACATTCTCTCTATCTCGATTTCCAAATCTTTGTATTTATTATTATTGTTATTGTTGTTACTATTATTATTATTATTATTATTATTATTATTATTATTATCATTATTATGTCAAGATTCAAGTTTGTATGGAAAAGTGCTCAATAAAGTTTGTTATAATTATTATTGTTATTATTATTATTATTATTATTATTATTATTATTATTATTATTATTAAAAGCAAACAGCAACACTACACCGTGAAATTGAAGATCTTGGCCAAGTTGAAACCCTACTCAAACCTGACTAAGCGATGCAACCTATGAACGACTGAGAGGCACTTCATCATCTTCAAATCGGAACTGCCAACATTAAATTAAACAAACGAAACAAACTAATTCCACATGCAGGCCATGCCGACAAAAGTTCATCCTTAGTTATAATTATCTGCATTTCGTTACCGGCTCAGCGCGCGCATACTGGCACTTAAAATGTTAATATGTACAAGGATAGCACGCGCACAAGTTTTAAAATTTAGAAGTTCATTCGAACATGCAACGATTGATAGCAAAGGCTTTTACAATGTTTTGTAACGGTCTGTTGTAACGGTTTCTTGCGTCTTGCGCGATCATATTGTTGATGTGTATTTTAGTAGGCCTCAGTGTATATGGAACTGGCAAACTGATGAGCGGGCTAACTTCATCTTAGCCTAAGAAACAGACCTGTATTAAACTCTATATATATTCGCACCTGTCTGGCAGCAATGGCCGGCATGCAGGCGCGAACGTTTTTTCTCGAATTCTCGGGGGTCGTCAGCAAAAAGTGCACACAAATTACGTCGTTTCTGATTGCGCACACGCGTACCGAGTCGATGTTGAACATTCAAATCGACTCAGCTGACTGATCTGTACGGGTCCGCAAATGATCCCAGGACCGCAAATGATCCCGGACCGCAAATGATCCCAAAATTGGACCGCAAATGATACCGGACCGCAAATGACCCTCATATTGGACCGCAAATGATCCCGATCAAAAAATAAGGAATGCCATGAATTTATATCAGAGGAAGGTGAGAACATGTACAAAAATTATGAACTAAAAACCATGTTTTATCATTTTACAACAAAAAAAAATATTCCACAGTTGCTGTTTTGTTCTTCGAACGGTACAGATCGATTTCACTGTCACGCAATAAAAAAAAATAATAATAAATCGAAAACCAACCAATGGAAAAAGCTAAGAAATTGTGATGTACGCTATTGTTCACAAGAAACATTTTATTGACCGAACCCCGAATAAAGAGAGCAAAAATCTTTTTATACCCGAACGTAATAAACCTAAATTTACATAAATATTAAACAAAGAAGCG